TGAGCCACTGCATCCCTTTCTATCCCTTTCTATCATATCCCTTCCTATCATGTGAAGCAGCCTCTATTTCCTTCTGCATATTTGGTTTTGGTTAGAGTTAAAAATTCATGGTTGAGACAAGTTTGGTTTTGTTTTCTTGCAAATTTTTTGTTTGTTTGTTCTCTGTTCTTTTTTTTTAAAAAAAATTAAAATGATAAGGAAATAGTTTTATTCTGTTTACATGGCAGACGTATAAATCTCTCAATGCTGAGTGACTAGAATGGCTCCCAAGCATATTTCTGTTTTACGCAGGGAAGGCAGCGTAACAGCATGATGTGTGAACTGTGAGTCGCCATCAGCGGCTGATGAAAATGTTTTCTCTTTGAAAAGGACAAGATAAAGACTGCGGTCTGTCCAAACGCATGTTATAGTTAGCAGCTCGTCAAGTGGTCTGCTTTTAGAAAGAGGAAAAATTACTGCCTTGGGATTTGGCTAAAGTTTCTTTTACGCCTTCCAAGAATTAAGAGGCTTGTGTTCACTTTAAGCCAGGAGACAGACATTCGCTTTCCTCCTTTTGGAAATAAGAGGCCATGGATACCTTTATGCTAGTTTGATTATTTATTTATTTTTAATAAAGTTTGCTTTAAAACTGTGGTTTGACATCCCCTCCTACCAGCCGACATAAAAGTTGTCAGCGTCGGTTGCAATGTTCTTAAGCAGTGAGAAACTGTTTTGTGTAGGGGTTAAAAAGCCACAAAACTAGAAACTGGGGAACTGTACGTTTTAGTTATGCATTAGGCAGGAAAGCCAGTTGGGTGACTTTGGACCGATCCATCTCTCTCAGCTCTTGGAAGAAGACCATAGCAAGGGTAGCATGCTAAGGGGTGGTGCTTTGGGAGTGATACACCTTGAGAGTACAATAGTGGCCAAAATTGTGGAAACCTTTTGGGAAAAGTGTATTTTTGAGGTTTGATGGCTAATAACGCCACTTTTTTTTTGGAGTTTCAAGATAATCCTATTCCACTGCTGGAATGGCCTAGGAATAGCCCAGACCTTAACCCAATTGAAAATCTATGGAGCCGTCTAAAGAAACTTGTTAGTCAGAAGCGACCCAGCAATAAAACCCAGTTAATAGAAGCAAACATTCCATCTTGGTTTCACATGATAACAGCTGCAGAACTAAAAGATTTGGTTCACTCCATGGGAAGACGTTGTAAGGCCGTAATTGATGCTAAAGGTTACCCAACTAAGTATTAACAGACATGGTGATAATTTTTGTATATCTCATTTTTTCAAGGGTGATAATTTTTGTATATCTTGGAGGAAGTTAGCACCCACACCTCTCCTAGAAGAATGAAATATTTTAGGAAATATTAAAAAGGCGGAATATATTTCCTTGGATGAGAAATGGAGAAACATGCTTTAAAGACAAAGCAGCTTCTTACCTCCCCCCACCTTTGTCAATGGGCCATTAAGGTCTCAGCCAAGCTCACTCATTCCCCCCACCTTTGTCAATGGACCATTATCTGCAACACAATAGGACCCATCTAGCAACAGAAACTCCCCACATGGTACCTGGGAAGATTACATCAGCCAGCAAGGCTAGCTAAGACCCCCACTCCCTGGGAGTCTGACAAACAATCAGGATACTCTTCCTGTGCCCCAGGAAGTTCAAAGAGCAGAGAGGGCATAAAACCCAGGGACTCACAGCCTCTCTGCCCCTTTTCTGTTCAGGAACTCAAACCATGTGATCCTATCCACCATTAAACCATCTTTCCAAGCAGTCTCCATGTTTCCAGTGTCTTTTTCCCCACTTGGAACTGAACCCAGAAGGATATTTTTTCCAACAATCTCATGTTTTTTACGTTTCACTTTTCTTCTTTACTCTGTAACTGCTATTAGAATATTGCATTACACGTTATTGCATTACATTCTTTCTTTTTTCTTTTTTGAAAAGTTTTTTTATTTTTTTAAAACATGAAACATAAAATACATCTTTTTAGAGCAAGGATTTGATCCGGTATAAAGTAAATACAATTACTCACATTCCCTCAACCAATTTTGTTCCAATACTCTGGAAAGACAATACTGGAGAACAGTTAAGCCAAACTGTGAATCAGTTATTGCATTACATTCTTGATTAAATTATCTTTCCATTGCTATATAATTTTACGGTACTACTCCCCCTAAAAAGTGGTGTTATTAGCTAGTTTTAGAAAAATTTGGGAAAATTTCACAATTTTGGCCACTACTGTAAATAGTAAGGTGAAGAGTCCATCCAATAGGTATAGAGTAATGTAATGTAAATCCCTCACTGTACTTTACCCTACAAATATGTTATTTTTTTTCCAGGCAAGATGCTACGAGCACTGCAACATCCTGCTGATTCATATTCCTACATGACACCAATGTTATCAAACTTTTGTTGTTTCTTCCTTAGCAGATTAACAGAGTTGGAAGGGACCTTGTAGGTCATCTAGTCCAACCCCCTGCCCAAGCAGGAGATCCTACCCCATTTCTGACAAATGGCAGTCCAGTCTCTTCTTGAAAGCCTCTGGTGATGAAGCTCCCACAAGTTCCGAAGGCAACTTCTGTTCCATTGGTTGATTGGTCTCACTGTCAGAAAAATTCTCCTTATTTCTAGGAGAATTTCTGAATGTATTATTTCTGAATAATAAATTATTTCTGAATTTCTCCTTGATCAATTTCCATCCATTATTCCTTGTCTGGCCTTCGGGTGCCTTAGAAAATAGCTTGACCTATGTGGCAACCCCTCAAATATTGGAACACTGCTATCATGTCTCCCCTGGTCCTTCTCTTCACTAGACTAGCCATTCTTCACGTTTTCGTCTTCAGTCCCCTAATCATCCTGGTTGCTCTTCTTTGCACTTTTTCTAGAGTGTTGTTCTGCCCCAGCTACGGACCCCAAAGAACACAGCACACACAAAGTCTGTACAAAACTTAAATTTACTAAAATAACTCAGTCTTTTCCAAACAAAGGCTGTTAATAAACTTTCTTAACAGCCTACAAGAAACCAAAGATAAAGTAATCACAATCTTACTAAGGTTGGCAGAAAGCCCAGAAGCAATTTACAGAGAATCCAGACGCAAAGGAGAATGAACTAAAGTTGTTCCCTACAAATTGCTTCAGTCGCTGTTCCTCCTTAAATAGGCTAAGGGAGTGGCCAATTAGCCCCAAGCCTTACTCTTGAGACCTCCTCCTGAGGAGCCACTCCTGTCTTTTGGCAGCTCTGCGCGCCCATGCATCGAGAAGAGGCTCCTCTTCTGTCCTCTTCACTTAAAGGAGCTTCTGGAGGTTCTGAAGGCCCTGGCTGAATCCCTGCCTCTGGCACCACATCTTCTCCAGCCTCCTCATTGTCTGACTCAAGTGCCAGCTGCACAGGCTGCTGGCGCAGCACCACACCAGCCTCCTCGCTGTCGGAATCAGCTACAATCCGCACAGGCCGCTGACGGGCCACAAGTGTCAACATCTTTTTTATAGTGTGGTGGTGACCAAAACCAGATGCAGTATTCTAGGTGTGGCCTTACTAAGGCTTTATAGAGTAGTATTAATACCTCACTTGATCTTGAGCGTCTTAGATCAGTCCAGTACACTACATCGGCTTCTGTTTTTGCTTCTGTGTCAAACCTCTTGTTAATTCATGCCTTGGAAACTATCTGCCTTATTATATGGCTTTGGTCTCTGCGTCCGCCTGTGCTTACTCAGCAGAAAGCAATAACTCCAAAACCCATAAAGAGAAATCAACTACTCTTTAAGATGTATCCCTGGACTGGTTTCACTGTAGAAAAAAAACAACAACAACTCTGTAGAGAGAAAATGAACCGAAAATATACTTGGCCGGTTTGTAGTGAAGTTGCACCAAACTTTCTCAAACGACACAAATTGGAATTCTGTCATCTCAGAGAGCAGACTTTTTCTTTTTATTATTTATTTATTAAATTAATAAGCTGCCCCTCTCGCTATCAAGCAATTCTTCTGGGCAGCTGGCAAGAGTTTTGGAGAGTGAGTGCAAATGCATTTTGCATCTTACTGTTCGTGTTACCCACAAGCAGGAAAAACAGCAAGAGGTGGAGATCAAATTTTCCACAAACTTACTTAGTAATATCCTACATTCTTGTCCCCCCAGTTTACCTAAAAAAAGCCACCAGCTTCTCAGTGGTTTTGCAATATTTAATGTAAGGCCAGCCTTAGCAAGACTCTGCACTTAAGTGGTTAAAAAGACACTAAAATATATTAGAAGGGAACACTGACACATGGTTGATTGCAGTCAAAAGCTGGGAAAAGGAATTAGCTGATACAACTTCAATTAGATTTTAATCTTTCCCTAAGTCTGTTCCAAGCTAAGGAAAGGAATTGAAAAGCACATGCTTAAATTGATAGGAGTTTAATGTCACTTCTGGAAAAGATGCTAATACTTCAAGATTTTCCTTCCCTCCTGCTTCGTCAGGGACCTTGGTGATGTTTTGGGTAGTCTTTTCCAGTGGTGGGATTCAGCCAGTTCGTACCACTTTGGGAGAACCGGTTGTTAACTTTCTGAGCAGTTTGACAAACTGGTTGTTGGAAGAAATCATTAGGGCAGAAAACCGGTTGTTAAATTACTTGAATCCCACCACTGGTCCTTTCCCAATGTAAATTGTGGACTGCCTCTCTCTCACATCGACCAAAAGAGTTTTGTTGTTGTTGAAATCAATACCATAATTTATTTAGACCAATGTTTCCCATGCTTAGCCATTTTTAAGGTATGTGGACTTCAACTTTACCAGGAGCTCTGGTGGCTCAACAGACTAATTAACATCCACTTACATCTGCTGTCTGCAATTACTGCAAGTTCAAATCTCACCAGGCTCAAGGTTGACTCAGCCTTCCATCCTTTCTAAGGTAGGTAAAATGAGGACCCAGATTGTGGGGGCAATAAGCTGACTTTGTATAAATATACGAAAGTATGAAGGCTATTGCTCAACGCATTGTAAGCCGCCCTGAGTCTCCGGAGAAGGGCGGCATATAAATCAAATTAAAAAAAAAAACAAAACTCCCAGAATACCCCAGCCAGCATTGCGATGCTGGCTGAGGTATTCTGGGAGTTGAAGTCCATGTGTCTTAAAAATGGCTAAGCAGGAAAACACTGATAAAAGCACCGCACCACATCATTTTCCTGGCCTTATTATTCATATTGCCTGCCTGGATCCAGTTAAGATTATTAGCGATTCACTTGCAGTTCATTCCTTAATAACCATATACAAAACTTTAGTATGCTCTCAAGTCAATCTGCTTCCATGAAAAACTATATTCCCAGAAGAGTTATCAAAAGGCTAGATTTAAGCGATGGTTTTTGCCATTCCGGGTGGGAATACATCGATCATTTCTGTGGCTTCCTTGGGTGACATGCTAAGATCTTCATGTGAACTAGATCGGTGGTGAAATCCAAATTTTTTTTACTACCGGTTCTGTGGGCATGGCTTGGTGAGCGTGGCTTGGTGGGCATGGCAGGGGAAGGATACTGCAAAATATCCATTCCCACCCCACTTCTGGGGGAAGGATATTGCAAAATCTCTATTCCCACCCCACTCTGGGCCCAGCCAGAGGTGGTATTTGCCGGTTCTCCGAACTACTCAAAATTTCCGCTATGGGTTCTTCAGAACCTGTCAGAACCTGCTGGATTTCACCCCTGAACTAGATCCTTTGTGCATGTGTGTGTGTATATGTGTAAGAGACAGTGTCTTGGCTCCCTGTTTGTTTCTGGTGGGCCTTTCACTAAACAGACTTCCTCCTCTTTCCGAACATGTTATTGATCAGTTTGGCCATGGATTTTGAGCCGCTGGGCCGTCTCTTCTCCTTCCCCTTGAGATGAGCCGTGAGACTTTTCAAAGCTTGGCTGAACATCATTCCCACTTCCTGGCATTGTTCTGCAGCGGACAGTTCGCAAAACTGGCATCTGTAATCCAGGGCCAACTTCTGTCCTTCATCCCAACCGACTTCTCGTACGTGGCACAAATCCTGCTTGTTCCCAACCAAAACCACGGTGCACTCGGATGTTCTGGACAAAGGAAGTAGAGAAAAAGAAAAGTTATAAACCAAGAACTTCCTTCTGCTTAGATCGTGCTAACATCAGTCACTTCCGTGAAGGCTTTTGAAATGTTAAATCATTGTACTTATGGTTTAAGAGGCAATTTTTTTTTATTTCGTTAAATCGTTTATATTAAAATACCATCTTATACAGGTAGTTCTCAACTTACAACCAGTCACTTAGCAACTGTTCAAAGTTTCAATGTATGTACCTGTATGTACAATCCCTGTGATCACATTTATTTATTTATTTATTTATTTATTTATTTATTTATTTATTTATTTATTTATTTATTTATATTTTTTATACCGCCCTTCTCCCGAGGGACTCAGGGCGGTGCACAGTCCACAATAAAACACATATATCCATAAAATTTAAAAAACAATTTAAAAACATATTAAATAATTTGGACCCAATATTATTAAAAACTAAACGAAACCATTAAAATTCATGTGTAAGCCAGCCCAGCTTGTTGAAACAATAATGTCTTAAGGGCACGGCGAAAGGTACGTAGGTCAGGGATCATACGTATCTCCGGGAGCAGTTCATTCCAGAGGGCAGGTGCCCCCACAGAGAAGGCTCTCCCCCTGGGGGTCGCCAGTCGACATTGTTTGACCATGACAGCACTTCAGGCACTCGGTAACTGGGACATATTTATGGCTGTTTGTAGTTTCCCAGAATCACATGATTGTATTTTACAGCCGAAAAACTGTTATTTACTTTCAGCAGAACCGCAGCTATAATGAATCACTGGTTCACTTAACAACCATGCTGTTTTACAATCGTGAAGGCCAGGCTCTGTTATGGCCATAAACTGAGAACTAACTATATAATTCAATCCTGGGCATCAAAACAGTAAATATATTAAAAGATACAAATTTAAATCTCACAAAATCAAAGGCCATCACACTCTAACCAAGGCATCAGAGCAACTCACACCAATTGCACATGTACTGGGCTCAGCCCACATCCTGGTCCAGAACATCCAGGTCTTCCCAACTTTCTAACTGTGAGCAGTCAGAGGATATACATACATACATACATACATACATACATACATACAGACAGACAGACAGACAGACAGACAGACAGACAGACATACATAGACACATATGCACACATGCGCGCGCACACAAACACATACAGAGAGAGATGATAGAGATAGGCAGAGATGATAGAGATGATAGATGATATAGATGAGAGAGAGAGAGTTGGATGATAGAGATGATAGATAGATAGATAGATAGATAGATAGATAGATAGATAGATAGATAAGATGAGATAGATGATAGCTAGCTAGCTAGCTGATAGATAGATAGATAGATAGATAGATAGATAGATAGATAGATAGATAGATAGATAGATAATAGATAGGTACTGTATTTTTCGGAGTGTAAGACACACATTTTCCCCCCAAAAAAGAGGGTGAAAATCTGGGTGTGTCTTATACTCAGAATGTAGCCCCGCCCAGCTTCTCAAACGGAAGTTTCAGAACCTGAAAAAAGCATCGGAAACACAGCTTCAGAAAAAAAGCCTCCAAACAGAGCTTCAGAGGCTTTTTTTTCTGAAGCTCTGTTTCGGAGGCTTTCAGAGGCAGAAAAGAAAGTTTTTTTCTGAAACAGAGTTTCAGAAGTTTCAGAGGCAGAAAAAAAAGCAAAAAAAAAAAAAAATAGCAAGGCACAGAGCTCACAACCAAGGAACCTGTTGCTAAAATTCACCTCTGGGAATAGCAGATTGGGGGTATTCCGGGAGGCCAATCCATCTGCCAATCAGCTTTTATTTATTTTATTTGATTTATATGCCGCCCTTCTCCGAAGACTCAGGGCGGCTTACAATGCATTAAGCAACAGCCTTCATACTTTTGTATATTTATACAAAGTCAGCTTATTGCCCCCACGATCTGGGTCTTCATTTTACCTACCTTAGAAAGGATGGAAGGCTGAGTCAACCTTGAGCCTGGTGAGATTTGAACTTGCAGTAATTGCAGGCAGCTGATGTTAGTAACAGTGCTTTAGTCTGCTGCGCTACCAGGGCTCCCCAAAAACTAAGGTGTGTCTTATACTCCAGTGGCGTCTTATACTCCAAAAAATACGGTAGATAGATAAATAGACAGACAGACAGACAGACAGACAGACAGACAGACAGATAATAGAATAGAAATTTTCCAACTCTCAAAAGGGAGGCTGTTCCGTAAGGCAGATACCACTACAGAGAAGACATAAGTCCTGGGTCCTCCCAGATGACATCATTTGATAGAAGGGAGACACACAACTGTGTTTTTATACTGATACGCATCCCCAGTTGAGCTCATATGTAATTCATACATCCCTCTTTTTTTAAAAAAAATGTTTTCCATTTATATCATATTCAATATGTTATGCCTATGTTAAAAACCAACGAGGAGTAAGGTGCCTTCTCTATCGGACCAACTTATATTTTTAACACAATGGAATTGTTTTGATTTCAAAAGAATTGCTTGGGGAACCATTTGGGCAAAATTCTTAAATGTTTCTATTAGAATCCTGATTGATCCCTGGTGTTTTTTGTTTGCTTTGAAAGCAAGGTGAGTGAAATATGAGCAACCGCTGGGCATTTTCTCCGGAAAGTGAACGGACACAAACTTTTCACGTTGGACTATTGATGGTGACAGATTCACATATATGAAGACAAAGGTTGCGGAAAAATAACCGGTCATTGGAGAGTTGCTTTTATTGGATGGGGATCATCCTTCACACTAGCAATTTCTTTCCCACCCTGCAATTAAAATCGGAGATTGAATTTCAGCCGGCTGACAGTCGTAAATGTCATACCGTTCAATAAAACATACTCTGAGGTAGCTTGATCCAGGGCTGTAGATAAACTGACCCTAATAAACTGGTTTTTAAACTATGTAGAATTTCTATTCGGGAGGTCTGTGTGTAAAAAAAACCTGACTGAATCAAACGAGGTCGGGTGTCAGCAACCTGTGGCTCCAGAGCCGCATGTGGCTCTTTGGGCCCTCTGCTGTGTCTCCCTGTTGGGTGATCCTACCACTGGCTGGCCCTGCCCCTCGCCCCCCCCCTCTCAGTCACTCCTCGCCTGGTCTGAGAAGGTCAGGGCGACGGCGTGGGATGGAGAAGCGGCTGGGGCAGAGAGAGATACAGAGAGAGGGGGAGAGAGAGAGAAAGAGATGTCAAAAGGGTTTTGTGGTTCCCGGTGTTTTTTAACAACCAGTTCTCTGCCCTAATGATCAGCTGGGTAGGCGTGGCTGGGGGTGTCATGTGACTGGTGGAAGTGAGTGACATTGAGTCGGCCATGCCCACCCAGGTTTTGTGGCTCCCAGTGTTTTCTTTTCTGTGGGAAACAGGTCCAAATGGCTCTTTGAATGTTTTAAGGTTGCAGACTCTTGAACTAGGTAGACACACTGCAATCAATTGTATTCATTGTTCCTGGCTTTTATTGGGTCTTCACTACAGGGGGGTGGGGGGAGACCATGGCCCTTTTATGACTTGTGGACTTCGACTCCCAGAATTCCTGAGCCAGACTCTGGCTCAGGAATTCTGGGAGTCGAAGTCCGCAAGTTATAAAAGGACCGTAGTTTCCCCCCACTCTTGACTTAAAGGGACCAAGTCTAAATCTTAGCCCCATTTCCCTTATGTATTCAGCAGGTATTCAGCAGGTTCTGACCAGTTCTGGAGAACCGGTAGCAGAAATTTTGAGCAGTTCGGAGAACTGGTAAATACCACCTCTGACTGGCCCCGCCCCCATCTATTGTCTGCCTCCCGAGTCCCAGCTGATCGGGAGGAAATGGGGATTTTGCAGTAACCTTCCCCTGGAGTGGGGAGGGAATGAAGATTTTATAGTATCCTTCCCTTGCCACGCACACCAAGCCACACCACACCCATAGAACCATTAGTAAAAAAATTTGAATCCCACCACTGCTTATGAACCACACAAAGCTTTCAGCTTTCCAACTCATGGTCACTAACCAACTTGCCTTTTGCAAGTGCCTCCATGACACTCACGGATCCTGTACAGCAACGCTTTTGCGAACGCAAATGAAGTTCTGTCACTGATGTCGTAGACCACAACAAATCCATCTGCCCATTGGAGTTCGTCTGCAAGTAACAATTTCCCTGGCCGAGGCTGGAAGGCCAAAAGACAAGCAGTGGTTAGAGTGCAGTACTGCAGGCTACTTCTGCTGATCGCCGTCTGCCAGCAGTTTGGCAGATCGAATCTCACTAGGCTCAAGGTTGACTCAGCCTTCCATCTTTCCGAGGTGGGTAAAATGAGGACCCAGATTGTTGGGGGCAATAGGCTGAGTCTGTAAACCGCTTAGAGAGGGCTGTAAAGCACTATGAAACGGTATATAAGTCTAAATGTTATTGCTATTGCTGTCTTGGTATCAACACTTAGCAATCACATAGAGAGATTTTCTCCTGGAAGATCTGTCCCCCTAATCCAGCACTTTGGGTTTTCAAAGGGTTGGGTTATATGGACAGAATTAAATTATATTCCCACTGTAACTTTTTTTTTAAGAAGAAAGTTTTATTCCATGCTTTTTATAAAGCGGCTAGCATGCATAGCTTTACTGGTTTCGTGGTTCTATTTGCTTTATTTCCACCATGACCTTGTAAAATAGATTAGTTTGTGAGATGGTGAGTAAACCAAACTTATTTAGAAAACCAACTAAATGAAGAGCTCTCTATCAACTCTAATCAAATTCTCCAACTGGCATTATGTGAAAGTGTAGAAAATCAACTTCTAACTTTGGTAGAAGCACAATGCAATCTGTGCATGAACTGAATTACACAACCTGTATCTGTTTTAAAAAATTATGCAATTTAGTTGAATTCTCTTCCTTGCTAAATCAAACTATCATTCCAGATATTGTCATATGAGTAATCAAAAGGTACTTTGAAAAATAGCTGGTCTCAGGAGCAGGCCTAATTCTTTTTTAACCCAATAAAAACAATTCATCATCTAAGGTTGTTGGGTAAGCATCTCCCTTCTCAGGAACCTATGGCATTGAATTCCTTCTGCTATCCATTTCTAATCCTGCTCTAGGCACCGAAGTCAACTGGAAGACCTTTGGCCAATCAGCAGGAGAATGTGAATTCTAGTCCCACCTTGGGCATGTAAGCCGACTGGGTGACTTTGGACCAATCACCAGGAGACAGTGAGTTCTAGTCCCTCCCTAGGCACACAAACCAGCTGGATAACCTTGGGCCAATCACCGGAAGACAATGAGTTCTAGTCCCGCCTTAGGGCATGAAAGCCAGCTGGGTGACTTTGAGCCAGTCTGTGAGTTCTAATCTTGCCTTAGGCACAAAAGCCGGCTGAGTGACTTTGGGCCAATCACTTTTTCTCAACCCACCATTGCAGGAAAAATAGGAGGAGGAAGGAGTGTTTATTATGTGTGTTTGTTGTCTAGTCTTCCAACTTACTTGGGAACAAGGATCATATATTTCCAAGTTAATTTGCTTTCCATCCAGATACAAATGTTTTGTATAAATGCATTCTGTGACGGGAAAAAAGAGGAATAAACAGGCTGGGTAGAGTCACCATCATTTATACATCCCAAAGCAATATAACAACGATGAATCAATCTATTGCGACCCCTTTCCCTGTCTCAATCTGGTATTTAACCAGAAAATAAATATGTTAATATTCAGGCCCAAATGAAAGCCACAGAATATCTTCGTATTTTTTCTTGAAAGCACAGAGCTCACAATGTTTATTATTTATTATTTATTTATTTATTTAATTAATTAAATTTGTATACCGCCCTACTCCCGAAGGACTCAGGGCGGTGAACAGCCATAAAATAAAACATATAGATACAAAATTTAAAATAGAGATAAAACCAATTAAATAAATTTGGCTGAACCATTTTAAAACCCCAATAATTTAAAACCAAATTTAAAATTCCCATTTAAAAGAGGAAAATTTAGGTCAGGCCAGCTTGATGAAATAGGAACGTCTTAAGCGTGCGACGGAAGGTACGCAGATCCGGGATCCTCTGTATCTCCGGGGGAAGCTCGTTCCAGATGGCGGGTGCCCCCACAGAGAAGGCTCTCCCCCTGGGGGCCGCCAGTCGACATTGTTTGGCCGACGGCACCCAGAGGAGCCCCTCTCTATGGGAGCGTACTGGTCGGTGGGAGGCTATTGGTGGTAGCAGGCGGTCCCGCAAATAATTATTTACCCTATTTCCCCATTTTATAAAATGACACAGACACACACCCCTTCCATTACCAGCAGTAACATCTAGATCAGTGGTGGGTTTCAAAATTTTTTACTACTGGTTCTGTGGGTGTGGCTTGGTGGGCGTGGCATGGCTTGGTGGGAGTGGGAGTGGCATGGCTTGGTGGGTGTGGCAGGGGAAGGATACTGTAAAATCTCCATTCCCACCCCACTCCAGGGGAAGGTTACTGCAAAGTCCCCATTGCCTCCCAATCAGCTGGAACTCGGGAGGCAGAGAATAGATGGGGGCGGGTTCTCCGAACTACTCAAAATTTCCGCTACCGGTTCTCCAGAACTGGTCAGAACCTACTGAAACCCACCTCTGATCTGTATCATCTGAGCGAAAATAAAAAGCAAGGAAGATTCAAAATGAGTGGAAACTTACCAGAATCAGAGGCATATTCTCCAATGAAACGCTTCGTCAGAAAGCGCACCGTAAGGGCTGAAAAGACAAAATAAAGGGGCCATGGGAATGTTGCTTAGGACATATGTTTTTCTAAAGAAAAATTTTCTGGATTTTAGCCTCTTTTTTTTGCTCTCGGGCATATCCAGCTAATAACTGGATTATGAGTCAGGCTACAAACCTATATATAGCAGACAAGATACACAGTCCTTTCTATTCCTGCTTTGCCTCCATTCTGAAAATTGTATATTTGTTTTAGTTTCCCAATTTAATTGACCAATGCAGCGCAAGGCTTATTTAGGTCCCAAGATATAAACCAGGAATCAACTCTTGGCGCCAGAGATGAAGAAATGAACAGAGTCTCAAATGTTAAGGTGTATTTATGTGAATGGGATCATTCCTACGTCACCGAAGACTTTCTAAACAGGAGCAACGCAGGAGCAATGCCTGGCTTCACACACTGTACTTGGCTATTATTTTACCACAATTTATTTATTCAAGCATATTAGGGCTGCCCAAAGTGGACTGCAATAATATGTATAATCACTAGATGGCAGCAAAGAGACACGGGGGGGGGGGGGGTTGATCCTGGAAAAAAAAGCCAAGCAACAATTAAAACTATCCACTATCTCTAATTTTGAAGGCATGATTTTCCAAAGAAAATATCTCTACATTGCTGCCTTTTTTTTTCCTCCTGGGCACATGCAACGAAACCTGGATTATATATATATATATATATATAGGCTCGTAGCATGACTCAAAATATATATATATTTTGAGAAATATATATATTTCACCCAGGAAAAAGTCCTATACACTTCTGCACTGCAAAAATCAGTATTGCAGCTAGATGGCAGGAAAGAGATATAGAAAGCTTTTTTAGCTGCCATCTAGTGGTCATAGGGGATGTGATGGCAAAGTGGCTAAGATGCTGAGCTTGTCTATCAAAAGGTCGGCAGTTCAGCGGTTTGAATCCCTAGTGCCGCATAACGGGGTGAGCTCCCATTACTTGTCCCTTCTTCTGCCAACCTAGCAGTTCGAAAGCACGTAAAAAATGCAAGTAGAAAAATAGGGACCACCTTTGGTGGGAAAGGAACAGCATTCTGTGCGCCTTTGGCGTTTAGTCATGCCGGCCACATGACCACGGAGACGTCTTCGGACAGCACTGGCTCTTCGGCTTTGAAACGGAGATGAGCACTGCCCCCTAGTGTCGGGAACGACTAGCACATATGTGCGAGGGGAACCTTTACCTTTTAACCTATTTGTTGTAGCTACACATTGTGTTGCACTTAACGTTGCATAGTGATCAAAATAAAAGGGTTAGTTTCCCTTCTCTTGCTAAGCTGACATTAGGACCTACTAAACCACCTCAGCTATCTTACAGATAGTCCTTGACTTATGACCATTCATTTAATGATCATTCAAAGGTAAGAACAGCTCTGAAAAAAGTGACTTCTCACCGGTCCTTGCACTTATGACTGTTGTAGCATCTCTGCAGCCACATGATCAAAATTAAAGTGGTTGGCAACTAGCATGTATTTACAAAGGCTGCGGCATCCTGAGAGTCACAGGATCACCATTTCAGAACTTCCCAGGGGCTTCCAACAATAGCAATAGCACTTTAGACTTATATACTGCTTCATAGTGCTTTACAGCCATCTCTAAGAGGTTTACAGAGTCAGGATATTTACCCACCTCGGAAGGATGGAAGGCTGAGTCGACCTTGAGCCTGGTGAGATTCGAACTGCCAAATTGCAGGCAGCCGGCAAGAAGCGGAAGTAGCCTGCAGTACTGCACTCTAACCACTGCACCACCGTGGCGCAACAAGCAAACTCCATGGGGGAATCCAGATTTGCTTAACAACCAACTCAACTGATTCCCTTAACAACTGCAGTCGTCCCCTGAATAACTCTGGTAGATAAGGTGGCAAAATTGGTTACGATTCATTTAACAACCACATATTGCTTAGCAACAGACATTCTGATCCCAATTGGGGTTGTAAGTTGAGGACTACCTATGCTATGAAGGCCAGTCTTCCCTACTACCTATTGCATGCTGTTCTTCAACCTCTGTTGTGAAGGTGAAGAAGGCAAAGACGTACCAAATTCCAAGCAGAAAATGGCAATTACTCCATGTTGACACAGCACAATTCTCCAGGGGACAGTCACTAATAGTGGTTATATTTATATTGTGGTTATATTTATATAGCCGTGGTGGCACAATGGTTAGAATGCAATATTGCTGGCTAACTCTGCCCACTGCCAGGAGTTTGATCCTAACCGTCTCAAGATTGACTCAGCCTTCCATCCTTCCGAGGTGGGTAAAACGAGGACCCAGATTGTTGGGGGCAATAGGCTGACTCTGTAAACCGCTTAGAGAGGGCTGTAAAGCACTATGAAGCAGTATATAAGAGCCTGTAGTACAGTGGACTAAAGCACTGTTATTAACATCTGCTGCTTGCAATTACTGCAAGTTCGAATCTCACCAGGCTCAAGGTTGACTCAGCCTTCCATCCTTTCAAAGCTAGGTGAAATGAGGACCCAGATTGTGGGGGCAATAAGCTGATTTTGTATAAATATACAAAAGTATGAAGGCTATTGCTGAGCACATTGTAAGCAGCCCTGAGTCTCCGGAGAAGGGCGGCATATAAATTAAAGCAAAATAAATAAATAATAATAATAATAAGTCTAAGTGCTATTGCTATTATATGGATTTAAAAAAAAATATCTACATAGCCATATTAAACAGCCTGTGTGATCTAACAAGTTGTGTGAAGATGGCTATTGAAGCCCCATTGCTAACATAGTTTTGCATAGAAACAACTGGAAAGAAGGATGGAAAAGCCGAAAAAGATAGCTATCTGGAATTATACTTTCCATTATGGGTAATACCCAGCTGAACATCTGTTTTTTTGAGATTATCTCTTTCTTGCTTATCTTCCATGATGCAAGAACACCTAACCAATTTTTCACCTGGATCAGGTTTCAGATCTGATTGTTGCATCATGTATCTTTAAGTTATGCCTTGGGCTTATACAAGCTACACTAGACTAGAACTGCATTTCATCCAAAATTGGAACCTTAGAAGTAAAACCTAAAATCAGAAGGAAGCCTGTTACAGGTTTTATGTTCTGCTCTAAGCCGTAATTTATTCTAACCATGATCAAACAAACCATCAAGGTTCCCTGCACATGGGTTATGATTTAAACCATGTTTCACAAAGCAAATTGGCTTTTTCATATATCTTGCTAAGTCCAAACCAAAAACTCATCATTCTGGTTTAGCATGACTGTGAAAACCCAACGGACTTCTAATTTTAGAATTAAATCCTAAAAATGATCCTGAATTTTAACTACATTTTTGTCAAATACTCATAATAATCTCCTTCACTTATCACATCATCATCTAATCTATAGCTCTGTACATTATGATAAGCTAAACATAAACCATAGTCTGTTTAGCATTATGCACATTTTTTTTTAATTTGATTTATATGCCGCCCTTCTCCGGAGACTCAGGGCGGCTTACAATGCGTTAAGCAATAGCCTTCATACTTTTTGTATATTTATACAGTCAGCTTATTGCCCCCACAAACTGGGTCCTCATTTCATCTACCTTAGAAAGGATGGAAGGCTGAGTCAACCCTGAGCCTTGGAGAGATTCGAACCAGCAGTAATTGCAGGGAGCTGTGTTAATAACAGGGTGCTTAGACCACTGTACTATCAAAGCTCTTTGGTAAATTGAGATATTAACAGTTTTTCTCTCACTATAACTTACAATGTGATCTCGAGTAAATATTCTCAACCTCCACTTGCCATGGTAAAAATCAGTTTTGCATCAGATTTGTTAATGGATATTTAAATCACTGATTCTAAACTATATTTCCAGTATTATTATTTTAAACTATCCCCAGGTTAGTGAAATTATGGATTGAGAGAATGGAAATACCAAGACTATTATGATAACTCATTTATTTTCAGATAAAACTTCAACTTAAAGAGTCCATTCCAGAGAAAGGAATGTCTGTTAAATCCAATTGTCTGTTAAATCCAAATGTATATCCTTTGAGTACATTTTTATCACTTGCAATAATTACATCATCTAACCAACATCATATACTTTGGAAAGTCATACAAGTGAATAATAGACTGGAAGATATAATTTTGCTCGTTAAGGTTCAAGAAACTAAAGTCGAAAAACTGGAATGCAATAGATTAGCAGGTTGGAAAAGAGCAAAGAGATTGGTGATACAGCTTGTAACTCTTCAAGGACAAACAGGTAATGCCGTCACCTCTACTTAAACTTTACACTGGCATCTAAGTAAGATACTAAAGAATTGTGAAAAGGAGAGGAGACCTGGAGAAATGTTGACTAAAGTACTATTCCTAGAACATTTTCACATTTTATTAGATTATAGAATAAAATGCAAAGATAAAATACAAAAATGTGAAAGCAAATAATAGGAGACAGTGGGGAGGAAAAGGGGAAAGAAAGAATAGGGTTGCCAGGTCTGCTTCCCAAAAATAGTGGACAAGCCGGGGGGGGGGGGGTGGTTTAAATAGTAAAAAAAATAAAAAAAAATTACAATTAAATTATATATTTTCTTACAAACATTTTAACACGTATTAAAATAATCACTTCAAAACTTTACTTAAAATTCAAAACATCAAATATATTATAATAATATGTAAAATATTAAATTACATTTTAATTTCATCATAAAGCTTTTGAATTAAAAAAATGTCCACTATTTTGTGAAAAAAAATAGTGAACATAATGTGAAAAAAGTGGACTGTCCCCTCAAATAGTGGACACCTGGCAACATTAAGAAAGAAAGAAAAGGGGAAAAGAGATTTGTTGATTTGTTGTTACAGAAATGGCTAGTTTATATTGTTTTGGGAAAGTAAAAAGTTGAGGTTCGACATTATTTGCTTTATTCTACTGCAACAGAGTGAGTCGGAAGTCAACGCTTTTTCTATTCCTAGAACATTTTTAGAATAACAGAATAACAAAGTTGGAAGGCATCTTGGAGGTCTTCTACTCCACACCCCTGCTTAGGTAGGAAACCCTACACCACTTCAGACAAATGGTTATCCAACCTCTTCTTAAAAACTTCCAGTGTTGGAGCATTCACAACTTCTGGAGGCAAGTTGTTCCACTGATTAATTGTTCTAACTTTCAGGAAATTTCTCCTTAGTTCTTGATTGCTTCTTTCCTTGATTAGTTTCCATCCATTGCTTTTTGTCCTGCCTTCAGGTGCCTTGCCTCCCTCTTTGTGGCAATTCCTTAGATGAATTGCACCTCAGTTTGGAGGATTTTTTAAATAAAAAAGTGGGATCCCATTCTAAATTAATAAACTGCAATTTGCAACTCCAAAAAGTAATTTTTTAAAAAAAGAAAATGGTATGAGCCCATTATCAAAATACTTTTATTGTATCAGCTGAATGTGTTTCAAAAGCTGGGAAATTAATTTGCAACAGGTAACTAGTACCTGAGCGCCAGTTTGGTGTAATGGTTTAAGGCTAGAAATGGGAAAACTTGAGTTCTAGTTTCACCTTGGGCACGAAACCAGTTGGGAGACCATGGGCCAGTCACTTTCTCTCAGCCCTAGGAAGGAGGCAATGGCAAACCCCTTCTGGAAAACCTTGCCCAAAAAAATCTGCACGGACTTGTCCAGGCAGTCTCTGGCAGAATCAGACACAATTGAATGAAATTTGGTAAAATTTGGGGTAGCTTGTTGCCATTAGATGCCACTGGAGTTGGTCAACACGCAGCTGATTAGGGGTGGTCTCCAAAAACATGCTGAACTGGTTAGCACTTTGATGAGAGACCACAGATGAGAGAGAGAGGGAGGGAGGGAGGGAGGGAGGGAGGGAGAGAGAATAGATGATAGATAGATAGATAGATAGATAGATAGATAGATAGATAGATAGATAGATAGATAGATAGATAGATAGATAGAATTCTTTATTGGCCAAGTGTGATTGGACACACAAGGAATTTGTCTTTGGTGCATATGCTCTCAGTGTCCATAAAAAGACTAGGAAACCATAGGCCTGGGAAATGAGGAAATCCATCCCAAAATTAGGACATGCAAATAATTTCAGTAAGCTTGCTAAGAAAAGTCTGCACACAGGCACCAGAAACAAGGGCTAATCTCTCTGGGCTACTACACCAGAGAATTTCAGTGTGGGTCTTCCTCTGCCACCTGGTGGTCATCCATATTTTTGCAGGAGTGAAGAGCAGCTCAACTCAAGGGACTGCACCCCAAAGAAGAGGGAGTCAAGCTATTCTCCAAAGCGCCTGGAGGCAGGACAAGCAGCAATGGATGGAAGCTAATCAAGGAGAGAGGCAACCTAGAACCGAGGAGAAATTTCCTAACAGTTAATCGGTGGAACGACCCGCCACCAGAAGTTTGTTGATGCTCCAACACTGGAAGTTTTTAAGAAGACCTTGGACAACCAGGGTTTCCTGCCTGAATAGGGGGCTCGACTAGAAGACCTCCAAGGTCCCTTCTAACTCTTATTCTGTTATTTTTTCCCACCAACTCTTGATGTTCAGAATAGCCTACAGGGCGCTCAGACCAGAGGGCGCTATTCCCGCGATCGCCCGTGCACGTGTGAATGGAACGATTCCCTTTCTGAAGCCGCCCGCCAGAAGCGCCGCGCCCGATGCCACCCTGCCCAATAAGCGCCTTACCGGATTTGCCCGTCCCTTCGCTGCCCAGCATGGCTACCCGGAGTCCATTCATCCCCGGCGCCACTTCGAGCGCCCAAAGTCAGCCAAAAAGTCAAGTCAACTTCAGGTCTGGCTGACCCGGGGACGTGGAGATGCCTACGGCAGCGGAGACCCTTGGCTTGGATTTTTGTCCGTTGCTTGCTTCCCCCTGCGATGCCCGGGGAGCAACTCTGCTTGCCCGCTGCACCGTCCCGCGGCTATATAACCTCTCGGGCTGCGGACGTCAAGGGAAGGTGGGGAGCGTTTGAACGGAGATCAAAGACCCGCCCTCTTCTTTCCCAGCCCGTTGATTAAGCCAGAATGGAAACCGGTCGTCTGAACGGGTCATATCCAACCCCCCCACCCCTTTCCCGATTCCGCGTCGTGAAGCTGGGGATTTGTGGGTTCCGCCACCCCCTTTACCCCACGATGCGAGAGGAGGGAGAATCCACAAGCCAAATTTGGCTCGTAGTTTGCCAAGTTTCTTTGGACAACGGGTCTCTCTGGGACACGAGTTTCGGATCTTCCCACGGTTGGTTGGACACGCGCAGGAAAAGTTTGAGCAATCCAATTAAAAGATCCTGCTGCTGTATTTTTTGGACCAGGTTGAGATAGATTAGATAGATAGATAGATAGATAGATAGATAGATAGATAGATAGATAGATAGATAGATAGATAGATAGATAGATAAATATATATGTGTGTGTGGGTGTGTGTGTATTGATTGATTGATGTACGTATGTATGTATGGATTGATTGATTGATTTGATTGGTTCGATTTATTTGCCGCCCTTCTCCCGAGACTCAGGGCGGCTTACAATGCGTTAAGCAATAGCCTTCATACTTTTGTATATACCTGCTTAGTAGGGCTTTCGCCCCCCCCCCTCAAGCGGTATTCTTTTTTTTTATACAAAGTCAGTTTATTGCCCCCACAATCCGGGTCCTCGTTTTACCTACCTCGAAAGGATGGGAAGGCTGAGTCAACCTTGAGCCTGGTGAGGTTTGAACTTGCAGTAATTGCAGGCAGCTGGTGCTACTTAATAGCACTTTAGTCTGCTGCGCCACCAAGGCTCTTTAATGTTAAAGGTGGTTAGATGGGCTGCGTAGATTCGTGGGTAGTAAAACAAAAAACAAAAAAACACCCACCCCCACTCAGAAAATAGGTTAAAATAATAACGGAGTTAAGTTAGTGGTGGATTTCAAAAATTTTTTACTACCGGTTCTGTGGGTGTGGCTCGGTGGGCGTGGCGTGGCTTGGTGGGCGTGGCAGGGGAAGGTTACTGCAAAATCTGATCAGGTGGGACTCGGGAGGCAGAAAATAGGTGGGGCCAGCCAGAGGTGGTATTTACCGGTTCTCCAAACTACTCAAAATTTCCGCTAACTGAAATGGTCAGAACTTGCTGAAACCCACCTCTGAGTTAAGTGTGCTGTCCAAGGATAAAAGTTTGCTAATCGGCCATTAAACAAGATTCCTAGCAGGAAACTAGATTTGGAATGTCAGACAGACATTTCATTGACTTCAGTGGGACTTTATTCCTATAATGGTATAATTATTTAGTAAGATGAATGGATCCTCCAAGTCCAGGAGCAACGTACCAGGTTTTTCACAGCCTAAACCTCTCTGGTTGTAAATTGCACTAAAAAAAGATCTGCAGGTAGTCCTCGATTTACGACCACGATTGAGCCCAAACTTTTGGTTGTTAAGTGAGGCATTCGTTCAGTGAGTTTCGCCCCATTGTGCAACCTTTCCTGCCACCATTGTTAAGTGAATCTCTGCCGTTGATAAATTAGTAACACGGTTGTTAAGTGAATCTGGCTTTCCCATTTGATTTTGCTTGTCAAAAGCTCTCCAAAGGTGATCACATGACCCTGGGACGCTGCAATGGTCGTAAATATGAGTCAGAATTTTGATCACATGATCATGGGGAATGCTACAAAGGTCGTAAGTGTGAAAAATGGTCGTAAGTCACTTTTTTCAGTGGCTGTTGTAACTTTGAATGGTCACTAAATGAACTGTTGTAAGTCAGGGACCACCTGTACTTTTCTTCGAAGCTAGCTCAAGATATACATAGATTATATACAATGATACATATTATATTTATTTAGTTAATTTATATGCCACCCATCTCGTCTAGAGGCAATTCTGCACAGATTAGAATAATAAAAATAGCAAGATAAAACATTAAAACAATGCTACACTAAAGTTGTTTCAAAATTGGTAAGATGGGAAGGAAGGGAGGAAGATGTCCCTGGAGATGAAGTGTGGGGTCTTAAGATATATAATTTTTTTTTAATTAAAACTTTTAAACAAGAAAATAACGAATGCAATCTAATAAAATAAAGAAAAAAGCTAAAACGAAAAATGACAAGCAAAGAAAAAAATAATGAAAAAAGAAGATATAAAGAAAAAAAAATAACTTCTGACGATTTTGCAGATGTAGCCCAAAGAGTTGAGTTAGTAATAACATGGAAATAATTTCACATCTGCCAGGATGTTTTTATTATTGTTATTATTATCCATTTCATCCTGCTGCTGTGGGATTTCAATCCAGCTACTAAGTCTAGCCCTGTTGAGCTGTGAAAGATCAGCCAAGGTTAATTAGATGCTGGGCTGAACTACAGTGCCCATAATTCCCAGCAAGAATGGCCAATCACCATGCAATGTTATACTGTACATATTTCCTGAGCATACTTGTTGGACTCAATGGGACTTATCTCTAGATAAATGCAGATGCATTGCATTCTAGTGGGAAGTATCACATCAGGGGTACTATTGAGCAGGTTCTGACAGGTTCTGGAGAACCGGTAGCGGAAATTTTGAGTAGTTCGGAGAATCGGCAAATACCACCTCTGACTGGCCCCAGAGTGGGGTGGGAATGGAGAATTTGCAGTATCCTTCCCCTGGAGTGGGGTGGTAATGGGGAATCTGCAGTATCCTTCCCCTGGAGTGGGGTGGGAATGGAGATTTTGCAGTATCCTTCCCCCAGGAGTGGGGAGGGAATGGGGATTTTGCAGTATCCTTCCCCTGCCATGCCCACCAAGCCATACCATGCCCACCAAGCCACGCCCACAGAACCGGTAGTAAAAAAAATTGAATTTCACCAGTGTATCACATGTTATACTGTACCGATCAAAACCCAAGGTGGGTGATTATGATTAAGAGTTCAGTAATGGAACCTAGTTAGTTAGCGAGATAACTGTGTTCCCCTTGATTGGCTATTCAATTGATAGCCACGTATCCAGGGGTGGGTTCTACTTACCTTTACTACCGGTTCGCATCGTGCCCGTGTGCGCTCTTCTGTGCATGCATATGCTGCATGCCTATGCAATCGCCTATGATGACGTCTGGGTCAGTGGGCGGAGCCTCCTACCAGTTTTACTACCAGTTCTTGCGAACCGGTCTAAACCGGGGGCAACTCACCACTGAACATATCTGAGATGCTTTCATTTTTTATTTTTGCACTGAACAGGGGATAAGAATTAATGACGTCACTGTTTCTGTCTCATTCTACATGAAACTACAAACTCTTTTAATTTTAAATCGTTTAATTAGAAGCCATTTGTATTTCGTCTTTAATTCGTGATGAAGCCTTTGGTTTAAGGCAGCTGACTGCTGTTATATTTTTAACTTGAAGATTGCGTTCACCACAGACTTGACCAATACCTAGTGCTGGTATATGCACAGTGGAGAGAGCTTGGTTAGATTGAATTCAAACAATGGATTAATTTACTGCCATTTTTTTTGCTTCCTAGTATTTTTTTTTTCCCTTGCAAGTAAGGGGTCTGCTTTTTTCAGATCAACAAGTGTTGATCCTCTTGGTTGTGATAGGAATTGACTGAATGGCTTGTTGTCTTCGCCTGACATCATGGGCTGAGAGACAATGACTTGTCTAAAGTCACCCAGTTGGCTCTCATGCCCAAGGCAGGGCTAGAACTCACTTGGGAAGATGTTGTAAGGCCATAATTCATGCTAAAGGTTTGTTGTTGTTGTGTAGGAAGTTAGCACCCACCCCTTTCCTGGAAGAGTGAAATATTTTAGGAAATATGAAAAAGGCAGAATATTATATTTCCCTGGATGAGAAATGGAGAAGCATATTTTACAGACAAAGCAGCTCCCACCTTCCTGCCCCCCACCCTTTGTCAATGGGCCATTAAGGCCTGGGCCAGTCTATTCTACATAACAAAGATCTACCTCCTTCAGGCAGAGCCAAAGTAGGAATTGCCAAAGATCCAACAAAGATAGGATTAGCCCTCTACACAATAGCAGCAGAAACTCACCACATGTGACCTGGGAAGCACATGTGACCATCAGCCAGCAAGGCCCCCACCCCCTGGGAGTCTGACAACCAATCAGGATACTCTTTCAGGGCCCCAAGAAATGCAGAGCCAGAGAGAGCATAAAAACCTGAGGATTTATTGTATCTGCCCCTTTTTCTGTTCAGGAACTCAAGCCATGTGATCCTGTCCACCATTAAACCATCTTTCCAAGCAGTCTCCATGTTTCCAGTGTCTTTTTCCCCACTTGGAGCAGAACCTAGAAGGATGTTTCTTCCAACAGTTGTTAGTTGCGAAGTCATGTCCGACCCATCGCGATCCCATGGACAACGTTCCTCCAGACCTTCTTGTCCTCTACCATCCTCTGGACTCCATTTAAGCTCACGCCGACTGCTTCAGTGACTCCATCCAGCCACCTCCTTCTCTGCCGTCCCCTTCTTCTTTTGCCCTCCATCTTTCCCAGCATTAGGCTCTTCTCCAGTGGGTCCTTCCTTCTCATTAGGTGCTAAAGGTTACCCAACTATTAACTGACATGGTGATAATTTTTGTATATCTCGTTCTTTCTACGTGTGATGATCTTTCCATTGATATATAATTTTATGGTACTACAAAAAAAAAAAAAAAGTGGTGGTATTAGCTAGTTTTAGAAAATAAACTTTTCCCAAAGGGTTTCCACAATTTTGGCCACTACTGTACTTGGTGGAAACAAATACTTTGAAGGAACAATTGTTCGGTTTGGCCACAGGATTTGATCAACATTTTCTCTGATCAAGCCCAGATCTTTTCATGATCTAAGCTTGGAGATTCGTTCCCAGACTATTTCCCCAGTTTGTAGCAATCCAGTAGCCGCTGGAGCCTCGGAGCAACAGGATCAGGGCCTGAGAAAAAAACCATTTTAATCC